CGTGCTTCTGATCTCATGCTGCTGATTATCCATACTGCTGATCTCATGGTGCCTATTATCCATACTGCTGATCTCATGCTGCTAATTATCTTGTGCTGCTGATCTCGTGCTACTGATTATCCATACTGCTGATCTCATGCTGCTGATCTAATGCTGCTGATTACCCATGCTGCTGTTGATCTCATGCTGCTATATTCATTCATACCCATCTGCTCACCACAGACTCATGTTTGTGCTGCTGTTGTTACTCTGTATTGTTTTACATTATTAGTGTTTAGCGTATGTATCAGATCCTTTACCGTACCGTTTGGTGTTTGTTTAGCGTATATCTTAGTTTATATCTTAGCTCCTTATTTACTTTTTTTTTTTTTTTATAGTTTGTATTTTTGCTACTTTGGGGTGTATGTAACTGCACCCAGTGTACTTAATTTTGTTCCGCCTCATGTACCACGTGATGGAAATGACTATAAAACTGACTTGAACTTGAACTTGAACTTGAAAGCCACACGTTGATCAAGTCTTGATGGTTGGAGGATGACTCTCATCTACTACCACTAAAACCTCATTATCTGTCATTTTGATGCCATTACAGTCATTTAGGTGTTGGAGGGTAGTCCTAGATGATCATCCAAGGATTATCCTGATTCATGCTCAATAATAATGTACATGGAGGAGGTGGTGCCTTTTCAGGGACACCACCAAGTCATTGGTTCAGGTATGTTGACGACACCTGGGTTAAAATCAAATCTCAGGAAGTCCAACATTTTACTGACCACATCAACTCTGTGGATAAATATATCAAGTTCACACGAGAAGATGAAAAAAATGACAGGTTGGCTTTCTTGGACTGTGAGGTCTCAGTCTCTGATAGTGGACATTTGCAAACTGAGGTGTACCGCAAACCCACCCACACAGACCAGTATTTGCAGTTTGACTCCCATCACCCTTTGGAGCACAAGTTAGGAGTCATCAGGACTCTGTATCACAGAGCAGACAGCGTCCCCACTAGCTCAGGAGCCAGGCAGAAGGAGAAATCCTACACAAGACAGGCTCTAGAGCAATGTGGATATCCTAACTGGGCCTTCCTGAAAGAAGAAACCCAAACAGGACTCCAGTCAGCCATCAGGTGAAAAGGAGGAACCCAGACCCAGACCAGTGGTCATTCCATATGTTGAGGGAGTATCAGAGAAACTGAGACGTTTATTTTCTAAACATAACGTCCCAGTGGCTTTTAAACCCCAAAATACATTAAAGACTGGTTCATCCCAAAGATCCAGTCCCCCGGCACAAACAGAGTAATGTTGTGTATGCTGTTCAGTGTCAGGAGGGTGATCAGTCTTACATCGGGGAAACTAAACAGCCACTGGCCAAAAGGATGGACCAGCACAGAAGATCAACATCATCAGGCCAGGACTCTGAGGTCTACACTCATCTCCAGGCCAGCGGTCACTCTTTCAGGGATGAAGATGTTCACATCCTGGACAAAGAGGAACGATGGTTTGAGAGAGGAGTAAAGGAGGCCATCTTTGTGAAAAGAAATCGTCCATCATTAAACAGGGGTGGAGCCTCCAGGTTCAACTGTCCCCCTCTTACAATGCTGTGATTGCTAGTATCACTCAGCCCTCTGTGAACAGTAAACAGCCATCAGGTGCTAATGATCCATTGTTAGGCTGATGGTCCTTCTTGAGCATGTGATCAGCTGGTTTTGGATGTTAACATCAAACTGGTTGATCCACCATGAGAAGGTGCTATTTATAAGACTGAGTTTGTTGCAGCTCCTCAGACTGAAGAAGTCCTTTGGATAAAGGATGAAATGTTTCAAGTACTGTAGAATCCGTCCAGAGGACCTGACTCAGCTTTGTTACATCCAAGGATTACTTCCTGAGAGTTTCATTCAAATCTACTGGTTCATGAGATATTTTGCTAACATTACACGTGTGTAACGCGTGACGTCCCAGAGAATGAAAGTAAACCTAAATGTTTATTTATTCAAGTGGCGAGGAGGAGAACAGGGAGGGTTCATATTTGCTGGACTGAGGCGGCACAGAGCGACAGATACTGGAGAGCAGAGGGAGCCCTTTAATGCAGGTGCAGTGGAGGAGCCAGGGGGTGGCCAGTGGTGGCCTTGGCCACTGGAGGGAGACATTTAATTCACCACCAAGTTTGTAGAAGGAAATATTCAGGCCTGACAATATTACTGAAGAGAAATGATGAAGAGCTGCAGAGGGAGGTGGAGACCAAGAAGCTGTCGGTGGTGCGGGAGAAAGCTGCTCACTGGACCGGGGGGGTTCAGTACCAACGAGGAGGATCTCAGTCTGGTCACTTAATCCAACTAGTGGAACAGTTTCAGACTAACGTTCCTGAATACAGATTTTAATCTCTATCATCTCCAGTTCATGATCAGATCCACAGATTAGAATAATCTGTACAAATCTGAGCTCAGAGGACAAATCCTCCACTGCATTAAAACCAGGTTTGGTTCTGGTTCTGTTCACACAGTTCATTCACGGATGCTGATTAAAGCTCTGTCAGATGAAGCCAGATGTGAACACCATCCAGAACCGCTCCCGTCTTCTCTGGACCAGAGCCCGTTGAGGTGAAGTCCAGAACTGTTCTGAGGTCAGACAGATCCAAATCTGAGGTTCTGTTTGGAACACCATCATGTTCTCCATACTGAAAAGGAGACGGACCATCCAGCCCGGTAACAGCTCGCAGTTCAAATACCTGCCTCTCTGATGGTATGGGGGTGCATTACAGCTTCTGTCACTAAATATTATCACATTTCTTTAAATAAATGTGATAATATTTGTTTATTGAGTTCAACTGTGAATAAAATTTGGGATTTTGACATTTGCAAATCATTGTTTTCTGTTTTTATTTACATTTTACACTTTATTTTTGATCCATGATGAAATTCTACTGTTAGCCGCCATTTTTAAATTTTATTTTATTTCTGCAGTTTGTGTTGTGCAATCCTAAATCGAGCCAGACTTTGAGAACCGCTGCGCTGTTTTTAATGATTACATTTATTGAAAGTACTCTGTTGTGGCAAAACTGTTCAACAAATGTTGAGAACACGTGAAATCAACATTTCTAATGGAGAACGGACTTTTAATGATTTTATCTCGAAACAAGTGTGTGTGACCCAGAGTCAAATGTGCTCTGGATGTTTACAGAAACTGTGTGTGTGTGCGTGTGTGTGTGTGTGTGTGTGTGTGTGTGTGTGTGTGTGTGTGTGTTTTGAACCAAACAGACATTTTTCCACAGAAATAATAAAAAAGTCTGCACTGTTCGTCTCGTGCATGAGCTTAAGCCTAAACCATTATGAGCTGGTTATATTTGAACTAACACCCATAAATTCCTCTACGCTCCGTCAGCAGACTCAGAGCGCTGGTCCACAGCTCAGTCCTTCATAAAGTCTGGATCCAGGATTCTGGTACCGGTTCCTCTAGTTTAGGAGGCGAGCTGAAGGAGCCTCAGGTTTGTTGAACACATGATTTCTAAAATATAAAGAAGTGTGCGCTTTTCTTTTATCATCAGTAATAAAATGTTGTTGCTCAGATATGAGTTGATTTGAGGTAATTGTATAAACTCTGAGACATGGGGCTGTGGTAGCGCAGCGGTCAGTGCAGTGGCCCTGCGATCCTGAGGCCGCAGGTCCAAGCCCAGTTGTGTCAGGAATGGTGTCATGTTTATTTATAGAGAACATCTAAAACAGCTGTTACCAAAGTGCTTAATAAAAATCAATGGCAGTAATTTAATGGAAAAAATAAAATAAGATTAATGAATGTACAGAAAATTAATTAAAAGCATCAAAATAAAAAAAACAGAACAACAAAATACTAAATCAAATCACAAACGTAAAACATCAAGTTTATTTGTTGTGGACACCCCTGAAGAAGAGAGCAGCCCAAAGAAACTTTCAATTTATTTACTTTTTATACTCGTTTATTTAGAGTTTACTGTCTCCTGGCCTACATTTCCCAGAATGCATCTCACAGCCTGATAAAACAGAAGAAACCAGGGCTCTGGAAGAAACAACACATCAAGTTGTGAACAAACGTCCTCCTCCTCTCCATCAATCTGGAATCTGATTGGCTGACAGCAGCACGGGACGTCCCGCCTCCTCCAGCTTGACCTTTGACCTCCCCTGCAGAATCTGTCTGCTTCTCGTGGTTCGGTTCAGCTGAGAACAGGAACTCTGTGAAAACACACCCAGCCACTAAAAGTGTGACATAACACGCGCATGTAAGTATGGAAGCCCATTAGTGCCAAAACTTCAACAGTAAAACTGAAACATGGTAAATAAAATAATGTTACAATAATCAGGCTCGTCTTACGAAGCAGGTGGTTCTTAAAGTTTGCCTCTGTGCCTCTGAGCTTTTGTTTGATGTGGCTTTTTGATTGGAGAGTTCTTCCACCACAACAAACTTTAAACATAAAAATTAAAGAAAATGTTTTTTATTCAAAAACTTAAGTAGAAAAACATCCCGACTGCTACGCTCCCAGAATAAAAGTGGTGGCACAGAGGAGGTGGACTTGTGATCGGAAGGTTGCCAGTTCAACTCCCCGGACGGACAACATCAAAACGTGGGTGGGAGAGGTGAAGCACCCACACCTGTCTCCACCCTCATTTGCTCCACTCTGGGCCCTTGAGCAAGGCCTTTAACCCCCACCCTCTGCTCCCCCAGGCGCCCAGGACAGCAGCTCTCTGCTCCGCTCAGCGGGCTGTGGTTGATCAGGAAGAACATCTGGATAAAAACGATCAAGCCTTCGTGTGCGTTAGTTCTCTGTGGAGACCCTGAAGAGGAGCAGCTGAAAGAAGAAGAACAGTAAGACCTTCCCACTGAAAAACAAATAATGTTACTTATTTATTTACTTTTAAATACTCGTGGTTAAAAATAATAAGTTTGTGAATCATTTTAGCTTCCACTGGTTTCTATCAAGTGATTTCATAAACTTCATTTTTGTCACTGCCGGGCTTCCGTACAGACGGAGAAGCTGCCACAGAGGCAGCCGCAGGCCGGGTGGAGAAACATCTGGAGCAGCTGTGAGTCTGTGCGTCCTGCTTCCCTGTCAGGTAAGCTGCTGCTGTCTGTCTCTCACTGTCTCACCCTTCACGGTGTCCCTGTCCTGCAGCTGCACACACGAACCGTGGGAGACGTCCATCCAGCTGTTGGTTCACGTGGCAGAGCAGCAGCTGGAGCAGGACCAGGAGTTGTCCTGCACCTCTAATCATTAACTCGTTGGGTGAACTTTTAAAAGTCCTCTCGGTCTGTCCGGGTCTCGTCTGAACACATGTCTTTCACTGTCTTTCACTGTCTTTCACTGTCTTTCACTGTCTTTCAGTGTCTTTCAGTGTCTTTCAGTGTCTTTCACTGTCTTTCAGTGTCTTTCAGTGTCTTT